AGGAAGGAAGGAAGGAAGGAAGGAAGGAAGGAAGGAAGGAAGGAAGGAAGGAAGGAAGGAAGGAATTGTGAAAAGATAGATGGGGGGGACATAAAAAACAAAGGAAAGAAGGATATAGGATACAAAGGAAGCACCTGAGGGAGAAAAGACACTACAAGGGGATTGAGAATAAACTCTAGAATTACATGACGTATTTTTGAATGATTCATTTTCTTTAAATCAGCAGCCCCTAACCTTTTTTAATTTCAGACAATATTTTCATGGACCGGTCTGTAGCTACAGTATCCTGTGGTTGCTTTTGTAACATTAAACACCAGATAAACAAAGTGCATCAAACACCATTCAGACTCAGTCGAAAATAATGGAAGTTATACATTTTATTTATGCGGCACAGTACCTAATGACACACGGACCAATACCAGGCCACTGCTTTAAATCCTACTTATCAAAACCTGAAAAACACTGATCTCAATTTTCAGTTTTGCAGGAAATCTAAAATTGCAGTCTGTTGGCCTGTAAACTGAACACAATAAACTATCCCTGATTCCTTCAACGAGATAATGATCCAACACAGAAAAGCCTAAAATTAATCTTTGAATTAAAAGCATGCTGCTCCCACAATAAAAGAATAAAACTGCATTTCACAGACATTATCAGGGATGCCAGTAAAGGTAGTTTGAGCCAAAGCATAATTCAGAAGGTGGAGTGTTGTTCCATTTACCTTTGACCCCTGCTGCTCTATGTGCTGATGTAATCTGAAAAAACAAAACAAAACAAACACGAGACAAGCTGATTAGATCAAAAAACTGAATGATCAGCAAAAGACGAGTCATTTGGCACTGTTAATTGTTTATACATATCCTAACTAGTAGTGTGACACAGATGGGGGGGAAGAAGAAGAAGAAGAACACATAACAACGCAGATTATGCAAGCGCTATGCTGCTTTGAATACAGGAGGAGATAAGTGCTGAGAGCAGGCTACGCAGGGATCTCCTCCGCTTCAAAACAACAGGAAGACTTCGCATAGCAACACTGTTGAGTCCTGCTGCAATAAAAACTGCTCACTTATTCTGTATTACTAAATTATTCCCACAGGTACATGATTGCTAACAGAAGCTAAACAATGAGAGTTTAACGGATTACATCAACATTCAGTTACAACAGCGGTTCAGTCGACAGGCAGCCATGTTGGATTTTGAGACCAGAAGAGATAAACTAAAGCCTCTTGAGCAGGCTCTTTCCACCAGGGGAACTTCAAATCCTAATTTATGGTTCTAATAAAAGGCCGGTCTCAGAAACATCAAAACTATCTGAACTTAACATCAAACTAATTCTTCCCAGCTTTTATTTTTACCTGGTTTGAGCTCCAGCTTATTTTTGATCTTGAAGAGGAAAGCATTTAATGCTGATGTTATAACACAGAGGAGTCCTAATTCACTCATGAAGGCAAATAATGCACACTTGGTACATTGATACCATAATTTACTGAGATCATTTTAAAAACCCATATGGAAAAGATTGCTTGCTAAGCTATGCTGGTTAAAAGCATGACTCTTCTACTAAAGGAAGGTGTATTAATTCAAAAATGGTGGTGCTGCAAGTTTTTAGGGCAAAAGTCTACGTTAAGACTTAAACTTAAATAAACGATTTGAGTTTGCCATCTCTACAAAGTGGAACAACATAGTTTGAATCTTCTTTTAGTCATGTAAACAAGAGTCCTGCTGTTTTCCTTACCGGATTAGTTTCCATCCCAATATAGGAGTTCCTCGAACTGCAGTCCACTGGCGGAGTCTCTTGTCGGATAAAATCTGCCATTTCTATACCCCCTCCAGGGTCCCTTTAGCAGAACATAAATAAAAAAACAAAACATGAATTGAGAACATGTGGATAAGGCACTCTTTTCTTTGAAGACCCTGAGGTTATACTTAGCATTTTTTTTCCTTTATGTCCACTAGAATCACCAAGTTTAGAGGAAAACACTTTTTGCAGTGAAATGTGTTAATCCGAGCTTCATTCTGAAGGTTTTATTTAGATTCAGAAACTAAAAAATGAAAAAAAAAAAAATAATACATTCATGCAGATTTTCACCAGGTTTATATTTAGCTCAGACATGCTTGTTTAACCAGCTGGTATGTTGAAAGAGAAAAAAATCCCACCAAGATTGTTAATCATTTCCATATGCCAAAAAAAGAAAAAAAAATCTCCTTAACGGGTCAGACCAGAGGAAAAAAAAAAAAGTCAAGCTCAGGCAAGTTGCCAAAAAACAACCTTAATGGAAATCAGCTCTGATTGGTAGATTTAAGCTGAACTAAAACCAGCTGGACCTTTGCTGCAGATGTGCAGGGAAAGCAGTGACTGTAACCGTCTCTGCGGCTGAGAGCCCTCATTCATCTTGTTGCTTTTCTCCCAGTCTCCCACTGACCTAAAACCGCTCTATCTGGAATGGGAATATGAGTCCTTTCTGCAATTCATGGGCAGTAAAAACCTTATATGCTCTTTTTTTTTTTTTTTTTTTTTTCATTCCACCAGAGTTACATTAATCATCTCCATTAAAAAATAAAAATAACTAAACCTGTCATGTAGATCAAGGTTTTAAGGTTAAAGCCAAGCTCCTCACTGAGCAGCTCATTGTAGAAACAATGCATATAATTACTTAAATGACTTATATATGAGCTTTTTCTAAAATCCAATACATTGCCTTGGGAAAATCATCCATACACTAAAACCTTTTCAACATTTTGTCACTAACAGACTGAGTCTCTGCCTTCGTCATGTGATAAACCAGAGCAAAATAAAGCTTCATTTTAAAGCAGAAGAAATCTGATGCAGTTTCAACCTCCATTTTCAAAAAGAAATATGCAAAGTCTGGATTGATAATGTATGAATATGTAAATAAATACAACAGCTATTGACATTTGGGAAATTAAACCATTTTTAATTCTCTATACAAAAAATAAAATAAACAGCTCAAGCTCAGACCCCACAGGATGCTATTGCCACTACCATGCAGCGTTAGCTCCGCACCTCCACACATCACGAACTGTATTCCACTACAAACATACATGCTTCTTTAGTGCAGGTTTGTGCATTTTAAATCGTCATTTGGGAAAAAAATAAAAATCATCTGTGGTGCTGTTTTAGAGATATTAAAGATTATTTTTAGTTCACCCAGAAGTCAACTATCCCTCCATTAAGCTCCAAATTGAATCCAGATTAACAAGCCTACTTTTCGGTGCTACTTTATTTATGCAGATAAAACTGCCATTTGTGCTGATATGGTTTTTAAGATACAATCATTTTTTATTACAGCCAATGGCGTTGCTATCCCATCAGATGCTAGTGCTGCACTCGTTTTCTGATATAAAGTTATTGCATAACATCACATGTCCTTCTGTGCTGGCATTGAATAGAACAGAGGGCATGTTTACCTTATTTAGTGGCTGAAATGATTGTTTAATATTTAGTAAATAACCAGCCTCCCAGACCCTTCGCTTTTGACCTGCTGTTACCCCTAGCAACCCCGTGTCACTTCTGGTCAAGGTCTCGCTTGGACTGCTGCTAAATTGTTCCTTATTTAAAAACAAAAAAAGCTTTGAATTGTCTGGAGAACATCATTATTTGGAAAAGCTCCAATAGCACTGAAAAAAAAAACAAAACCAAAAAAAAAGTCCACTTTGGTTCATCCAGACACTGCTTTGATTCGGATTCAGCGGTACCTTATTGTCAATCTAATCCCTCAGAAAGCACCAATGTTGGGCTGTGTGCACTGACAGACAGGGCTCTGTGCTGGAGGTAAGTGAGGATGATCAACAGTCCTTTAGGCGCTAAATTAAAGCGCCTTTTTTTTTAAAGCTACCTAAAGAGCTCTTGAGAGAATTCCTTATTTCAACCATTGTTTATCTCTGTATTCCATTTCAGCTGTGTCGCAATTTCATAGAAAGGTTCAGCTCGTTTTAACTTCACTGATCCCCGCTCCGCTCTCTCCATGTGGTGCTGCTGTTTGACAACACCTTTGCTCTGTCTAGTAGCACGAGGTGAGGGAGGAACAGTGAAAGCTCTCACCACATGGAATTCACTTCACCGCCTTTCCCCGCAGGGTCGGGACTCTACGTGAGTCCACCAAACTCGGCGTTGCCACCACCTCCAGTGTGAACGCACCATTAAAAAGGACAGGAAAATGCAAATTAGACGCATTTCCATTCATTTGAGCAAGTTCACAAGGCGGTACAAAGCATAATGTCATAAGTTGAAAAACTAGCATGGACCATAGATCAGAGATGGAGCGAGGTTTTAATGAACTTGTTGAAATCAGGGACGCTGTACTGACTGTATCTTGTCAGCTAAAATTGGTAATTTGACGTCGAGAGAGAAACGAGGTTCTAATGGAAGTCGGCAGCTGATCAGACATGTGAAGTAAATATTCTATAAATCTGTTTCCATCTCTTCTTATGGGTATTTACTTTTTCAAACCCCACCCAAAGACGCCTACCTTAGCGAGCACAAAACCTTGTTTAGCTAAATTTTCCTGTTTCCATCAAGCTCATTTTTATGCGATACTTCAAAATGCGAATAAAAAAACCAACTATTTTTCCCCAATGTTGGTTGCATTTGCAGCATCTTTTCCACAGTTTTGCACTACCTTAATTGGTCAATTAAAAAAAAAAGTATAAGAAATGGGTAAAGGGTAGGATAACTTTTGTGAGGAACTTTTTCAGCAACAAAAACATTTTACACATGAATGCATCGCAGTCTTAAACTGATTAGAGCGCTATTAAATGCCACATTTCCTGCTTAAATGTTGCACACAGAACAACCATTATATATTTCTATTTATAAGGTCGTATATATTTTTTTTTTTATGCATTAAAGGTTTGCCTTTTTATGTGGCAGTCATAAGATCAAGAAAAAAAAAACTTCCTGCTGCTTCCGTTGAAGCGGTCTGAGTGTCTACACCTCACCACAAGAGAAGCAGACCACTGACCTCAGTCCCATTAGTCAGCTCCAGATTACATCTCCCTTGATCGGCCGGCTCCTGACCCACCCACACTCTCCGCTGCATGTGATCCTTTGCTATCATCGATCAGAAAACATGGCTACCGCGTGCTTGATGCTCTGACACAGCCTTTGAAGAAGAGTTACTCATCCGCTTTCTCATACTGTAACTGGTGAGCTCACCCCGGGCCGTTGCTGTCCTCCCGACGAGTAGCGCCACCGTCATTAGACCCCTCTGTGCCTCCCCTGCGGCTCTGGTTCTCCTTGGCCTGGTGCTCCACGACCTCGCCCTCGTCCAGGGCATGGTGGAGACGGTAGTTCACCATCTTCAGCAGCAGGAACATGGCAGCAATCACACCACAGTAGATCCCAACTATCACCATGGTTGGTGGCAGAGCCTGAGGCACGAGAGGGGAAGGGATATTTATTCTGCATGATTTATGTTAGAAGAACTTCAGTTTCAGATCATGATCACAAATACAACAGTTTCATACTATCAGTACAGTACAGCATACACTGGTTATTCATAAGTACTTTGCAGGAAGAACAAAGGAGCAGAAACTGTTCAGGAAGCATCACATAAAACAGGTATTTTTGAAGCCAAAGTTGCTTTTACTTTCTCCCTTTTTTAGATCTGCGTGATTAAATTGGTACAATGATAATAAACGTTACACAAAATTGATTTTAAACAAAAAAAGAGACTCTAACAAAAATCTGAACATTAACAAAACATACTGTAGCAAATGGAGAGAAGTAATGCACGGCACAGCTGGTAAATAGAATAACACAGCTTTTAGCCTATAGCTACCCTGCAACAAACCAGTCATTTCATTCCTAATATAAAAACCAAACACTTTTTTTTTATGCAGATAAGCATAAAAACAAACATAAAAAAACATTCCCATTTCTTCTTTATTACAAACATAGTTATATGATTTGATGCAAACCCTAGAAATGATCTGTTCAGCTGCTGAATCAATATTATATGAAGTTTGATTCTGAATAGAATCTTTTTTAAAATACCGCTGCATGCAGTAAGCGTATCCTGAAGAACTGTCCGGACTGTAATAAATTTGTGCCAGTTTTTGGAGTACAGAGGAGTCATCAAAATAAATCTGAGCAGGTATAGATTTTCCGATATCAATACTGCTGCAAAGCCTGATAAATATTTACTGATATTATTGAAGCACTAAGTATATATCGCTACCGTTTTAATAATAAATGACCACACCGCTGACTTTGCTCTAACTGAACACCTCACAACCGATCCAACAGATACTGATACATTTAATAACAAAAGGCTAGCATTGACTGGGGCTGAGATTAAGGCAGATAAATTGTGTTTCCCTGAAATAATCAGGAAACTCCAACCATGTTTCTTTATTGCTTAAGCAGCACAAACTGAACACGTTATGCTTTTCTTATTAAAATCTCATTGAGAATAACAGACAGAAAACTATCTGAGGTTTCATAGTTAGACTACTGAAGTCCAGCTTAACTCAGCCTCATCCATTTCTCTTTCTTAAATATTTAGCTTATTTCTCTGGAACCAAATTCCGTACAACACACAAACATGACTGGTACGGCGGTGAAAAATTCTTGAATCCTTAAATCAGCCATGAATCGTAAACCCCTTTTCTCCCCTCTAAATCATGCAGCTTTAACAATAACACAGTGAAAATCATAATGTTTTGCCTTATTTATTTCTCCTTCTTACAGGAAAAGTAAAACTGAAGTAGCAGTCTTTCAGCCAGATGGGCAGCAGTGCACAGCCTGTGCTCACTGTAGTTTATTAATAGGGATAAAATGACGCATTTTGAAAGAGAAATAAAAATTAAGGAGTCAGTATTGAGCCAAAATTCAGTTATTACTCAATAACTTCACAGACACTGGTGTGCAGAAACTGAAAGTCCACCAGAGCCAGTCTGAGCTCCAGCCGCCGTCTTCGGCTCTCTGAAGCCATCTTTGTGCCTTCTTTCTACAAGCCATCATAAACAACAGCAGAACTATATAAAACACAGCGCTGACCAACACATTTCCCATCCAAGAATAGAACTGAAACTGCAAACCGTTTGGAAAAGCAGCTTCAGAGGTCAGTAGGTCATTCCCCTGACCTGGGAGGAGCTAAGGATTGGCATCTAAAACCAACAAAAATTCAATCTACCACATAACCTTTTACTTTTTGTCACAAATTTGGATTAGAAAATACATTACTTTGTTTTTTTTTCTCTTTTTTTCTCCTCTTTTTTTTTGCTGGTTTTAGTCATTTATTGGCATAAGTGGTAAATAATTTATCGATTGCTGTAAAATAACAACACCTTCAAAATTTAGAAACAATTTAATCAGTTTTGATCAGTATGACAAAAAAACTATTAAGAAATGAGTGCGTTCGACAAAGGAGCTATGAAAGAAAACATCTTATAGCAACACTGATCCTCCATCTGACTAAACGGAGCAGGAAGTGCTTTTCCACATATTCTCAGACGTCCATGGAAGATGGTGTCTAATTTCTATGTTAATTTGGCCGCATATTTCACAACGGAAACCCGTCCTCAGCATGATAGATCCTCTACCGTACTCAACACTGGAAAGGAGGAGCTCTTCAAAAATTATCATCTTTTGTTTTCATTTTAAAAAGCCCAATCTCAATCTCCTCTGACCAAATAAAACGGGTTCAGTTTAGGTCGAAGCGTAGTCAAACAAACTCATCATATGTCTGATTGTGAAAGGGGGGACAGAAATGACCATACTATTACTAAGGAATAGTAGGAAACTAAATAGCATCAATCCTAAAAAGAAAAATAGTCTAAATTTGATCAAATAAATTAGGATATTAATTTGTATAAAACAATTGATCCCTCCCCCCTGAAAGAAAATGTACATATCCCCCAAATTTCTGTGTTTATTTATTTTTTATAGATTTTCTTTGTAAGCATGGGAATTCAATTCAGTGATTACAGACAGTAAAGGAGCAATAAACTCTTGTTATTGTATTTTTTTTTTCTTAAACAACCTTTAACTCCAAATTTAAACAAAAGAGCTTCTTGACCTGATCATGGACAGAACATTTATAGGAGAGACAATAAAAATATATATATATTTTAGTTTTCGTTGCTGCTTTCTGATGATCATTTTGTCTGGTTGTTTCTTAAAGAGCAGCGTTTTTTAAGAGCCGTGACGTAAAATCGGTATAAAAGGTTACATTGTCCCCCCGCTCCAGATAATAGACAGAGAGCCAGCTAACCTAACGGACACTTAGCTCGGTAACTTGCGACCACAATTGTACTGAAAAATAAGATCCACATAAACCTAAACACTGATAAAACTACTCACCATGTACAAAGTGAAGGGGAAACATAGCAGGAACAGCCAGATGTAGAGATGTAAAGCGTTGACGAACGTGTTCTGATTGGGGTCGTAGTACCATCCGCCTGTGACTGAAGCCCAGACCCCCTGCCTCAGGATCTGGAGAGTCTGCGACCCCATGTTGCTCGATTCTTCCCCTCCAAAATAATTCAGACGGAACCGAACTACGGGACAACCAGCCTGACACGCTGGCTACTCTTCGCTCAACATGACAAACGGTGCTCTGTTTTCAGCCAGTGGCCTGAAAAATCCCTTCTGCAGCCATCTTCTCTGATGCTAGCCCGGTTCGGCCAGCTGGGGGCACTGTTTCGATCCTCCACGCCCTGCGGGATAAGCTCTTCTTCGTGCCATCAACACGCAGTCGCCGTGGAAGCTCCTTTGGAAAGACAGGAGCGTAGACGCCGAATCTGTATTCATACGTCAGTGAAGCTGCCATATTGGAAGGGTTGCCCGAATAAAGGAAGATGGGAGAGATAATTTTATTTTGATTATTCTTATACCATACATATTGATGTATTTCCACACTAGGCAGTGGTATTGAAAGCCACATTGAGAACAAAATAAATATGGTCGGCCATTTAAAATAAAGCCAGCCGTTAAAAAACAAACTGCGCAGCTATTAAAAATATAAAGTTAAGGGTTGATGCAATGACATTAAATTTTAGTTGCAGATTTAAAATAGCAAAAAATATAACTAATGATAAAAATAGATTTAATAAGTATATTGTACATATTAAGTTGCGTGTAACCTACAAACCTTTAGTGGAAAGAAAAGCCACTCCCAATATGGTCGCCTTTGAAGCTCAAGTGTTGTGTTTCTTGCATTTTTATGCAAGTAATGAGTCATCTTGGGAAAATGTACAAAAAAAAATAAAAAGTTTTCCTTATTTTGTTTTTCCAGAAATAAGCAACTCTATTTTAATGTCCGAAAAGAACACAATTCAATAGCAAAGCGACAGGATAGTATAGTGACACCTAGCGTTGATCTTTATATTTGCAAATCAAAATATTTTCTTTAAAGTTTCATTTTCAAATTAAGTAAACATTCAAAATTTTTTAAGCAAATGTAGCCACATGTTGAAAGACAAGAGGATGCAAAATATTCCCCCTTTTTCATTGTTCCTGTGGGCTGCACAGATGATTAGATGAATTTAAATACCGTCCTGTTATCTTTTTGCATGGAGTTTGCATGTTTTATGCGGTCATACCAAGCTTCCTCTCCCATTCCAAAAGCACTAGTTTTAGGTTATTTAGTGTCTAGGTACACTTACTGAGAAAATGACGCAAACAGTTGTCCTAACATCCCTTCTACATTTTATAAACAACTTCTGTCAGAACCCCCCCCAATGTCACATACCCTAAAATCCAGTTGAGAGGAAAGCGATAAAGTATCTGTTTTCATTGCAACAGGTATACAACTGATCAAGAAAGACTCAAAAATTATCAAATGATTAAGAAAAAATAAAATTTATTAGAACAAAAACCATACAAGGATTATTTTTTTTTAACAAACTACTAAAAGTGAGTACTCAGGTTGAAGTTTCATGTTTCATTTAACTGACAACGTGCTTTAAAAAAAAAACCCTCTTGAAAGCATCCTTAAAACTGTTGTTTGAAATCAACAAAAGAAAAAAAGGGGTGCTGATGTGAAAATCAAAGGAGGGGTGAAACTGCTGCTGCTGAGCTCTGAAAAAAACGTAATCATTATTAAAGTTCCTGCTAATAACAGTAAGGCAGCCCATGTTTTAGTTCAATTGCCTGAGATGTTAAGCTCTTCCAAGTATATATGACCACAAAAAGGGATGGACAACCTTTCGATCAGTTCGAATAAAGCAGATGAGTTTGCACTGTTTGGGGAGGAAACAAGACTCCAAGAAGGCAGCTTTCAGAAACAGCATTTCTCCATTTCCTCAAGGTTGTTACTGAAGCCTCGCCCTTTTCTCAGGCGGTGGTTTACTGGCTGGAGCCGGGGTGGAGGACTTAGCGGCTGGCTCCCTTTCGTCTTGTTTCACAGCTTCTGCTGGAGCTTCAGGTTCCTTTTTTACTTCAACTGCAAGACAGCCAAATACACACACAAAAAAAACCCACATACATGCACACGTTTATACAAAGTATTTATTTCATCTACACATTTCAGAATCAAATGTTAGTATTACTTAAGGATCTCAACAAAATCAAACAGAATATCCTACCTGGAATTGGCTTTTCCCCTGGCTTAGGCTAAAATAATGATAGAAAAGAAGTTATAGATTTTGTTCAAAATATAAACACATTAGCATTAACGATGATGCAGAAACACTGGAAATAAACCTGATAGAAGGTCGGTGGAAACTTTGATCTGAGGTCTAAAAGCAGTGTGTCGACACGGTGCCTCTGAAACAGAGAACTGGGCTCCTCTTTCTTTTTGGTTTTAGGCTTAGCTTTTTCTGCAACAAAATAAAACATTAGTCAGTGAAACTTTTTAAGAAATGAAGTTCAGTTGAAAAACAAAATGTTCTATTCTTTGAAATTGCCCAGTTAAGTTCTGAGTGGTACTGTGTTTTAAAAAAGTATTCATACCCAGTGAATTTTTTCTTATTGATCATGGTATACTGATTTTTGGATTCAAGATACATTTTTTTAAATATTTTTCTGACAGTAAAGACACATTTACAAATCTCAATGAAAGGTTTGTGTGAATAAACCCCTCAACAACCACCATTTTATAGCTTGTGCACAAACATATTGCATACCAAAAATGCCCTTGGCCAATAAATATCTTTTATTTGAAAGCTAAGACCTTCTAGTTTCTGGAAATATGTGTACAGACTCTGTAGGTTATACAGAACCAGAGCTGTGTGACTTTAAACATGTCCAAAAAAACGTTTTCCCCCTCTAATAAAAAAAAACAAAATTTTTTTTTTATTATGTTTCATTTTATGTATAATTCATAATTGACCTCTTCCACTTCTTCCACTTGTTCTTCATGTTGTGGAAAACTGTGTCAAAGTTCAGATCTCTATTCATAAGCATTGTGAAACTATGACCATTTTTGTATGTAAAAGGTCCGTTTGGCACAAATGTGCCATATTTGGAACAAATGTTCCAAGCAGATTTATTTGAATTTTATGACCAATTTGACCCCAAAAAGCAAATATCTTTTTTTTTTTTAACAATATCTCCAGTTTTGAAGCGTGAAAGTCCACTCCATGAGCATCAGCTAGGATCTCCTCTCCTGTCAGTCCTTAAGCAGATAAATAAATCCTATATTTTCAGCTTCAGTCTTTGGTCACAATACTGTACAGCAGCAGCTGAACAGAACTTGTTGATGCATGCACATGGGGAGGGCCGTTTTTTTACGAAGAGGAAGTTTCAATAGCTTTGTGGATTACTTAAAATGTAAGTCACACTTGATGTATATAGTTAATAGGTGGGTCAATACGTCCACACAACGTAGATGATGTAAAATGGCAGACAAGTATCATTACGGAGATGGATTATACATTTTCATCCTTATGTTTTTACTTTTTTATGTCAAAAAAAATATTATGACACTTAAGTTTATTTTTTGGGAAAGACAAGTGTATACTAATTTTCTGTGGAGTGTCATGGAGAAAATGAGCCCTTTTTTGCCATCATCTTTTTTTTTTTCTTTCTTTCTGTTCGCCAGAATAAAAAACAAGATAGGATCTGATAATTATCAATTCTGAGCTGATGATGAAATATTAGTTTTTGGTTTTTGTAGTGTATGGTTGGCTTACATTTGAGTTAGTCATTTTCCTTAGGAATGCCTGATTCTAAAAAGGTATAATGTGCTGCGTTTCACTTTGATATGAGCATGATATTTGATGCAGAAAGAAATGTGATGTATAGTATCAAGGTGTTACTCTATTGTATCTCTTGTACTATATCCTTTGATTGTGCTTTTCTTTTTACATCTCTTTGCAGGTGATGAAGCAGACTGAAAATGTTTTATGGCTATCTCCATTTCATCTCCTCTTTCTTTCATCGTTTCTGCTTTTTTTTCCTTTCCTGTTTTATTTACATTGCAGTGTCCATATAATCTGTAAACCTTCCTGCATGAATTATAAAAAGCTATTCATATGCATAAATCAAGCGGAACACTATGGCAATAGCCATACTGCTCCACTTGTGAAAACAAAATCTGTTGGGCTCTTTTTGGCATTCAGACAATTATTCTTACGGTCACATTGATAGACTGTTAAAAAAAAGAAAAGAAATGTGATGAATAGACTTAACGATTTTGGGAGGTGGAAGTTAAGTATATAACTGTGTATTTAAGGATTTTCATTTTTTCCTGTATGCTGTGATAGCTGCAGCACCAACTATAGGTTTTAAACATAAATCTAGAGATCCAACCTCTCTCCTCCTGATCCTTGAAATGCCAGCAGTAGCCCTTGGATGGGTGATAGCGGCAGTAGGACATGGCCTCATCGAAAGCCGACTGGATTCCATGGACTGCAGAAAGCTAAATCAACCAACAATTAAACATTAGGAGAAATAATATCCTGCAACATCATACACTGAAACATTAACACTGTTTATAATTGAACTGATTTACCACTCTAGAGTTGATAACCGTCCCGAGGTCTGGAGCCTGATACACCACTCCTGCTATGATGTAATAGTCCGCCAAAGGAATCACTAGATAACCATTAAGTTTGGAGGCAAATTAAAATTTATTCAAAGCCATACAAAGGAATAACCAACTTCATTCCCATTATTTAAATATAACGGCGCCAATGTAGATTTGTTGCCTTGAAAAAAACTCCACAGCAAACACAGCTATGATGAGACGATGCCCTGCTCACCTTGTGCTGGCGACTGACGCTGCTGCTTCCGAATGATATAAAGAATTGGTTCCTGAGCGTGAAGAAGGATGTATTCCACTCCCACCATCTGACTGAAGATAAAACAGGAATCCAAGCTATTAGCTCATCAGGTAGGCAGGGCTAGTACTTTTGGTATCATCCAGGCTTTAGAGGAAAATTAGTATTATAATATTTGTGGACCACAAAGATATTAGGCAGAGGCAAATTACTAGTTAAGAGATGGGGCTTTCTCCTACTAAACAGGGCTTATAGAACAGAAAATCAGTGAATTGAGCTACAGCTTAGGGCCAAAGCTAAGAAAACTAAAAGATTTTGGGATTCTGTAAAAACAGTAAATGAGGCAAGATCCCTTCTGTACAGTCTGTCCATTCAGTGTTTTCTCTCTCCAGATTAAATAAGAAACTGGTTTGTGACTTAATTGAATTGAATATCAGCAGGGGATCAGAAACGTATCTTCTAACTGAAATTGCTTAGCAGAGCAGCAACTGTTTGTTTTTTGTATTTGTGTTTATTGAGCTGGAAAATGCTAGATAACAAGGAAAAAGAAGCCAGATCCTGGATGAAAAAATTCTAAGGTCAGAAACGATTCTTACTGTCCAAATAAAAACAGATTTTTAAGTAGATTTTTTGCAGAAATAAAAGAGGAAAGTCTTTGTGTATGTTGGTGACTGAGTCTGTAGTCATATTTTGTATTCTGATATGCAGAAGAAATGCATCTCTAATACATTCTGTAACAGTTAAAAACAATCCACTGGACTTGGTTTCCAAGGTTTGAAGACATTTCGCTTCCCCTCCAGAAAGCTTTAATTCACATTTCAATTCAAATGTCTGGATCCACAGTGAGTTTGAGGCTTCATATAGCATGACTATGACCTGGATGACTGATAATCTTCATCAGCATATCTCTTATACACCAGGTTCCACTTTTATGCAATGATTTTAGCTTCACTTGTACATTACAAAACAAGAGAAACAATGACACAACATCATTCCATCCCAGGTTTCATAAACTTACTTGAGGTGCTCCAGGGTAAGCCGCTGCATCTTCACTATCTCGTTATTGCAGGTTCGGTCATAGAACGGGTTGCTTCTTTCAGAGAAGTAATCCAGAACATTCCCAGGATTGAGAATCGGCACCCAGCCGCTGTCCACCCATGATATGCCAAGAAGGTTGTCTGTAAAGTTACCAAGCAAATACTTTAATAGCTAAACAAGCAAGTTTTACTAAGAAGTTTACAATAAACAGCACTGTCAATATGAGAATTTCCAACCAGTTTATGTTTCAAAATTCTACATTTCTAGAGTCTAATTAATCAGACAGTTTTAAAAGTCTGGGCAAACAATTATTTTAAAGATAATTTTAATCCCACAGATTGTGATATAGGAAAACACTGAGATCTTCTCCTGATTTAGGATTTACGACTACGTTTCAAATAAGATTGGTAGCCTTGAGGAACATGTTTTGATATTTAATATCTTTATTCTGTTCCCAAAAATAGAAAATAGCAATGTACTGTTTTCTAGGTGACCCTTCCTATTCCCTGCCCAGTTAAAGGGCCATGTATATATATATAAAAAAAGAAAATAGCATTAAAGCACAAAAGAAAAGTAGAAAAAGTATTCTTTTTGTTTTTCAAATATTGTTTACTTGTGAACTTTCATACAAAAATAATAATAATACAAAAAAACTAATACTGGTATTTTAATCAAGTATCTTTCATCTTATTGCTGAATCTCTTAGCGATTAATTCATCCATTATTCGGCTACAGAGGAGAACTCCCCTTTTGTCTCTTAACTGTCTCTGATCTGCAATTTTTATTTAAAACCTCCACTGTTTTTAAGTCAGCAAACTAACAGCCCTTTCTTTGAAATTTGTTTTAGGTGTTTAAGGTCAATCAAAGCATTAAATACTGAAGATCTTGTAATTCCATTTCTGGTTTTTATATTTATCTATTCATTCACAGCAACCACCTCTATAAGAAAACCTGCAGCCCATGTTTTTTTTAATCAAACGATGCAGCGCTGACCTGTCCCCACCTGATGCTGCAAAATGCCAAACAAGATGCTGAAGTTTGTTCCTACGAAATTCATAAAAAAGAAAAGAAAATCCTTTTATTTAGAAACATGGCGTGTCACTGTGTAGAAACTTAGGAGGTATTTAAAAACCTGTAAATAATACAATACATACGATAATATTAAACATACATTATAATTTTGTAGTATGAGTTTTTGCTTTTATGTTTGAAGTAAACCAGGTATTTACAGGGAGAGAATTCTAAAACCCAGTTGACAGGATATGAGATTTATTTGTTTTTACTTTGTTTAATATGAGCAGCATGCAGATCCTTTTATTTTTATTCATTCATTTTTACAGCACACGACGAACTACTGAAATTATTTGCAGATATCATAAATAGATTAACAAATTCCGTCGGGGTAAAGAAATGGCTTTAGGGTTAGGATTCACTCGGTGATAAAAACCTAATGAGCCTGCTGGCAAATCTGAAGCCATTTTATGGGACTGATAACTACTAATAATGATGATGTGTAAACCAGTGACCAGTGGTACTTTGTAATGTAATTTATGATTGTTTATGGACCAGAAATACTTTGGCGAATCAAGTGCTGTGCATGTGTGAACCTTGCATGCTTACGTGAATCATGCTGTGTGTCTGTGGAGCTTGTACTGTGCATGTATGAATCACATATGTGTATTTGTCAAAATTGAGAATGATTGGGCTCCATAGGTAACAGGATAGATCAAAACTCTACTCTCCTATATATCGTAGTGGCTCATCCTTACGTTTATTGAAAACATGAATCAGAGCCAAAAGAAAAAAAAAAAAACAACAACAAAAATATTTTTAGGAACTGAAATTTCAATCCTTTAGTTAGTGAATTTAAAAGGCTAAACGTTCTGTTATAAACCAAGTAGGAACCAGCAGACTTCCCTTTGTAGGATTTTTAATTAAATCTCAAACAACCACATCATGCCTGCCTGTAAAGACTGAAAAATAAGTTTTGTTTTCTAAAATAACAGTGAGCAATAATTTGAAATAATCATCATACAATTAAGAGCAGGTAGTTTTGGAATCCAAATGTGAATATATGCCTATTCCAAAAAAGTAAAAAAAAACAAAAAAAACAATCCACTGGACTTTGATTCCAAGTTTGAAGACCTTTTGCTTCCCACCCAGGAAGCTTTTTCAATTCAAATTGTCAAGAATAGTGTTGAGTTTGAGGTTTTGTACAGAAGCCCTTCAAAACCTTGTTTTTGTTTGGAAAACATGCAAACTGAAACGGGTGAACGGGTCCACCCTTTGGAATGGGGGCTGTTTGGCTTCTTTTGTTAGCCTGCAATGCCCCATACCTGTCTATGTCTCTGAAAGGGGGTTGTTAAAGGGAATTGTTGGCCTGGCTGAAATGCAAGGTCTTCTGCTCTCCTGTACAGGGGTTGGGGTTGTGATGATAGCGAGAAGGGATCAACTCAATTTCTGCATTGTAGTTTTAAAAAAAGCTGAAACCTGAGTCCACCACATATGCTAAATTGGTTTTTCCTTCTTAACCTAGATGGCTTCCTTCATGCCCTTCTGAAACCACCTATTTTTCTTTGCCTAAAATGTGAACATTCTGGTCCTCAAAAGAATGTCCTTTGTCCATAAGGTGTAGATGTACCACAGAGTTTTTTCCTCGAGGAGGTCTCCCTCTTGTGTTGGGCCATGTGTCTGTGGAGAGGTTGTTTAGTTTCTCCAATATAATGATCAGAGCATTCCTCACTGCATGGAACGGCTCATACTACTCCGCTCATCCCAGGTTTTGGGCTTTTGTCTTTAGGATGCACTAGTCTCTTTTTAAGGGTCTGGTTTGGTTTGAAATGTCCTGGGATTTTATGTTTGGAGAAAATCCTCTTGATATTTTCAGAGCCTCCAGCAACATATTGGATAGCAATGTTTTGGGGTTTAATCTTTAATCTGCTGCATATCTTTTGGATTTCCTCGTTGATTTGATAAATGCCCAGTTTGGGTATCCACAGGTTTGAAGAGCATCTTTGATATGTTTCTGTTCTCTGTGCTTTCCTTCTGTTTTTGCAGGGACAGACGCAGCCCGGTGTTCTGGTTTTGATGGTTCTGATGACTGAACGTTTGTGTTTCAGTTCCCCAAAAAACCTTGAATAAAACGTCGAACTAAACTCTATTCCCGATATTTTGAATGGGAAACAAAGTCCAGTGGATTGTTTTTTTTTTACTTTTTTGGAATGACTATGACCTGGATGACTGTGAATCTTCACCAGAATATATGCCTATATATCCATTTATCCCAGCGTGTGACCACAAGAGGCAGCAACCATATACTTTCATCAGTGTGTACAACGCAACAAAACAGCATGGGTTGGTTTTAAAACACGTATAACGGAAACTGTCTACGTTTAAGAAAACACAAAACCCATGATTGCCAAAGTTAGCTGACGGGCTAACGTTACCTTAGCTTTCAAACGTAACAACTACGACTCTAAACCCAGGATGTATCTCATCGTCTTAAATTCAGAGTCATTTTTTTTAAGGTTATTAAATCTAAAATATTTTGAAAGAAGCATTTCAACTTAAAATAGCACAAAATTACCTCTGAAATCAGCCGACGCCATGTTGATAAACAAAATATACCTTGTCCCTTAAAATTTGCGTTTCGCTGTCCGTCGCGTCGCAGC